TATATATATATATAATTGCAAGACAATTTTTCTATCCCTTAGTCTCTCTCTCTCTCTCTAGATAATAGTAACAGGAGGAAGAAGAAGAAGAAGAAGATTTTTTTTTTTTGGTGTTCAAATTGCTATATAGTGTAGGACAAGTTATATAATCATGTATCGCAATGCAATAAACAGGTGGGTCCATTACAAAAAGTTAAATTTAAATTCATGTTTAGAAAGGGGAGGAAACAGCTGGTTAGGCACTGCATTTGCCCCCCCCGCCCTCTCTCACACCCGCACATGTTTTGCCTTGTTCCCATTTAAATTTCCAAAGTTATATAATTATTACATTACCATACCACGAAATTTAACAGTTTTTACGTATATATAGTTTTCTACAGTATTTCCAACATTTTGTACAAAAAAAATGAAAAGAAAATGTTGCCGAGGGTCATCCACTGCCACTTTCAAATGTGGGGCCATTTTGACAATTTAGAGTTTTTGGGGTCGTTCTGTAAAGATTAGAAACTTACAAACCCTTTGTGACATAATCAATCATTTCTTTAATTTTTTTTCCTCTCTTATTTCCCATTCACAACCAAAAAAAAAAAAATGATGCTGCTTCTTCTGTGGGAATGTGAATCGACTCATCGAATAATCGAGATATATGGGTCGTTGAATTCGAATTCGCGTGTCATATATAAGCATCATGGGTTCTGTAAATTTATCATTTTAAAGTACTAACCGGTTTCTTAAAACCCTAATGTTGGGGTTTGCTATGAATATTTCGTAAAAATATATAATATGATGATCATCTAATAACCCGAAAATGTACACATGCAATCTCTACGTTTCTCTCTCTCTCTCGGATGCTTTTTGTAGTAACGTCCATATATAGTTCACGGATCATCATCATCTACAACCCAAAAATTCGGAAAATCGAAGAGCATATACATATAATCTTATGGTTTTGCCCTGTGATATATTATATGGTCCCGGAGGATATAGTCGAATTTCAGAATTCAGAATCTGTAAATGGATACTTGTGGACCCAACGCAAAATGGTATACGGATGGATGGATGACAGAGCGGGGAAACCATGCATGATGCCTACTTAATTCTTCGTGTTTTTTTCTTATCGCCAACTTGGCTTTAATTTGGTTCCATCAAAAACACATATAATATGTCACTGACCATTCTTCTCTTTTACTATATGATATTTCCTCCAAATCTTTGTCCGTTTTTTTTGTAATATCATATATATATATATATATATATATATATGATCCAAAACGACCCTATAAGCTCGTTTTTTCCCGATAAAAACGCAGTTTCTCCCCCTTTTTTCAGCAAGTATTATCCGCCTTTGAGACGATCGTCGGTCCATCTGTTTCTTAATGTCTCGGGTTCGAAAAGAGATTGAAATTTTGTGATGATTATATTAACTTGATAAGCGAGAGCGTAATAACCTTCTTAAATATATTCCAATCCAATCTAATCTGCTTCTTTTAATGAGAATTATAAGGATGATGTTTCTCGTGATTGATTACGTTGTCTGAAATCATGCTCTTCCTCTCTATCAAACAGTGTGATCAAGAATTAGATTATACACACACACACATAATCTAATTCTTGAACATATATCTATATATATATGTATATAATGTTCTTTCTACTATATACAAACGGCCAGATGCAGATCTCTCTCTCTCTCTCTCTATATATATATATATATATATATATATATAAGTGTGTGTAGTGTAATAAAAGTTGATAATTATATATCTGTGTGAACTAAAAAAAAATAGATACGAAGGTCAACGGATTGGTAGAATCAACGGAGACTTTCATTCTCCAATATATTCTCAAAGATATAAAATTAATTAGTTTGTATAATATATGGAACATCACGTTGTGTTGGAACCAATTAATGCATGGATGGATGAAGGGATAATTATAAATAATTATTTGATTATGGTAATAAATAAAATATACAATGCTATATATATTAGACAACATTTAACTTGACATGGATCTCGCCGACGACGTACGCACGCATCCATTCCCATGCATTATACATACTCTCACACGTTTGTAGATCCATCTACTATGTGATTTCATTTATTTTCCAAAATAAATAAATAGAAACATAAGATACCTACAGTAGAAGTACTCACATCACATGCATGGTTTGGCTAATAATTAAATGTATGCAAATATATATATATATATATATATATATATATATATATATGTGTGTGTGTGTGTGTGTGTGTTAATTATCAACATAGAAATTTGAAACCTATATATGTTACATAAAATTTATCGATTTCGTCCATTCGATTTAGTCTACTGATTGAAAGATCGTATTTTACAGATATAATCATCAATTTGAATATATATTGTTTTGGATTTTATATATGAAATTCATATATAATCATTTTGGAAGCTCCAAAAAGAATCATATCCCTTTTTTCTTTCAATATATTTTTATCAATTGGAGTATTTGATTACAATTTATTTGGCCTGCCCTTTTATACGAGGAATTTATTAAGTTCTTTAGTTGGCAAGTGACCGTGCGGGGTATACATACATACATACATATATATATATATATATATAATTACTGATAATTAATAGATTAGTTGTGGAACCTCTGAAAAAAATGCCATCCAAAAATTGTCATTATAGGGATTTATGAAACACGGAGAGTGCTCCAATAAAAACGTTTTGCATATGATAAAAACACGAATTCCGTACATGGTAATTTATTTGATACAATAAATCCGGATTTTTTAGTCATCAAAATCAGCTCCCTGTAAAAACTCACTGTCACTTTTTTTTTTTAAAAAAAAATCAGCATCATATTTATGTCACCAATATTTAGATTTTGTAGTTTATTACTCGTAAATTATATTTCTATCATTGTGGGAGAAACAGAAAAAAAAAATTCACCAGTGGGTACTATTTTTTTTATTCTTAAGCTTTATATAAAAATCAAGTGATCTATGATCTTTAACATTTTTTAAAAATGAAAAATATGAATATTAGTAAAATTTGAACCGGAATTTAAAGGGATTTAATTTAATATCTACGTGTTATAGAGATATATATATACGGCATATTATATGGTTCTTCGTCTATCCCTGATGATAATATATATATGGTTTTAGACTATGGTACCATGCATGAGAGTATGAACATGGTATGTGACATAGAAAAAAGTATATAACGTAAAGATGGAAATGCATATAATTTGAACAAAATCATAATTATATGCGTAGATATTTTATTTATTGGCTTTGGGATTTGAAAGAGCAAAGCAAAAAAGCCTAATGTCCTTCAAAGTCATTAAATGAGGCACAGAAATAGAGAAATAATAGCAAGTAGACCCAAAAAAAAAAATCAAGCTTTTTTACTCTCTGGTTTCCATTTTCCTTTGTTTAACGTTTAAGACAGTTCCCAATATAGGAATTTAATGAGCCATTGTTATTTAATTTATCGACCGGTCTTTTGGTTGAGCCTAGCAAATAAAATAAATAAAATATAATTAAAAATCAAACGTAGCAAGAACTGCAGAATCATTTCTGTATTCAAAATCAGGAAAAAAAAGAGTTGTAAATGATGTATTATTTAAAATAATTTATTTGACTACTTAATTATTTCAGTCTTGCATAAAATTTACAACCGATGCGAAATCCAACAACATTTTTTTTTCATCGGTAGCAAATAATTTATATATATATATATATATAACATTATTTAAAAAATATTATTTTCCAAAAAGAATGATATATTTCGCAATTTTAAAAGTAATTAATTATTCTGGTTTGAAATCAAATAGAAGTCGTGGACTAACAACAAACATACCGGCCATTATTTAATGTCTAAAAACCGAAATAAAACACATCCAAATCAATCGAGTTAACCGGACATAACCAGACATAGCTAACGAAATCGATCATAACCGGGCATACCGAAATGGTCAAAGAGGGGGATTTTTTTTTTATATATCGGAGGCCACGTGGATATGGAGTGATATAAATTTATCATTCTTAAAATCTATATATATAAATAAAGTAAAAGGCCATTTGCTCAGAAAATTTAATTAAATTAGGAAGGAATATTTCGGAGAATGGGAAAAAAAAAAGGGAATTAGAAGCAAAACCTGAGATTCTTAATTAGGGCTTATGTGTTTACTAAGGAAACAGACAAAAAACACTTTGTGTGGGTGTGGGTCTTTTTCTTAGGTCAATGTGTCTGCATGCAGTTCTTATACATCAATTTTAATTATACTATATATTATATAATCTGGATTTCATAACAATAAATTAATATAGATATATATATATACACACACATGCATGTATATATATATAGACGCTCATTACGTATGCATGCACAATATATACGTAACTACATACAGAGGCCCTTGACTCTGTATTTATGCCCTTGGACGGAAACATGTAAACTACTTTGTAAGACCGCACGAATATAAGATATTCTTAAAATTTGGCTTTATGTCCAAATATTATTATTATATATATATATATATGTATATATATTTATATTATCATACGTTTGGAAAGTTGTCTTTTTGAAAATTCGTTAAACTTTATATCATTTGCTCCGTGCGTATGTATTTACACAAAAATATATATCCTAACTAATTATAAAGCTAGGAATATTTTTCCAAGTAAAATAAAGTAATGAGAAAGATCTTAGCATGAAAATATAGGAATCAAGAACAATTGAAAATTAATGGTTGATCGATCGGATACAAACTATTTGATAAAATTTAATATATTTTTCGAAAATGAGGGCCGACATTTAAAAAAAAAAACCCGTAGATGGTAATAAATTCACGTAACAAAAGAAAACATGTAGTGGGGACGAAGAGTACTTTAAATATTAGTGTTTAGTTTTAACATTTACGGTATATTCGTACAACATAAGGTAAAAGAATTGAATGTGTTTGATTCCAAAGCCATATAACAAAAAAAAAAAAAGAATATATAATAAATAAATAAATATAATCTATATAATATAATAATGATAATGTCAAGAGAGATTGTCACATAGTGAAGAGAGACGCGAGGCGAGTGGGGGAAGACAAAGGAATCAGAGCGGAGACAGTCTCTCTCTTCACATATTTATCCCGTCGTCTCCGGGGTACCAATTTCAAAGCATCATTTATTTTTATTTATATTTTTTTATAATAATGTTTTTATTTGCATTTGTTTCTTTCCTTTTGGCTTTTTTAATAGTATGTTTTTAAATTTTTTTGGCTTTTGCTTTGACTATAGATAGAGAGGACAAGGATGAGAGAGAAAGAGACCTTTGTTTTCTCTCTCCTCTTTTACTCGGAACATTTAAATTTCTTTTGCAAATGACTTACCATTGAATGCATTTAATTACTAAAGTAATATATATATTTTTTTTTTACCAAATACAAACATATTTCGCACCTCTCTTTTGAACGGTGACTGCCCTTCATAGTTTAAATCGATTTTATCGTATTACTTGGACTAAATATCATATAACATACATACACATATATATAATTAAACAAGATCGTTAAAATAAATAATTATATACTCGCTCATCATATCAAAATACCAAAAAATCATTCATAATTTGTTGGTTACACAAAATTTCTTCCTGTTTACTAATAAAATATTGGGGAAAAAAAATGCAAACTAAAATAAATTGTCAAAAGAGTATAGTGTTGTTGGGAGGTAAATTTACACTTATATCCTTCATCAACTATCGTTTTCCAAGAAATACTCTCGAGGAACATCTCATACACCCATCTCTCTCTCTCTCTCTCTCTCTCTCTCTCTCTTCTTACATGCTTTTTCTGGATTTAGTTTTATTCCTTTTTCTCTTTTGCCTTTGCTTCACAACGCATATACCTCTCTCCCTCTCTGCGTCTTACTTTGAGCATGTTTGTTCTGTTCTTTCAAGAAGAGATCTCTCTCTCTCTCTCTCCTTCTTCTTCTTCTTCCTCCAAGTTTCTCTCTTTCAAGTTACCCAGTTCTTTTTTTCCAGAAAGAAAAAAAGAAAAATCAAATCTTTCAGACACATCTGATCTCTCTTTTGACTTCCTTGCTCAAAGAATCCATCTTTTTCTGCTTTCGTTCTTCCACATAATTTTATTTTCCCCAAAACTCTGAATCCATCTTCTCTCTTTCTTCCTTTATTGGAGAAAAAAAGGAAGGCTCGCTCCCGAGCAAATATGCCCCAAGAAGGGGTATTCATCCACAAGTTACCAAAACCAAGCAATCCTCTTCCCGATCTCTCCCTTCACATCAGCCTTCCTGCAGATTCCTCCAAGTCATTAGAATCTTCTCCGAGATCCCATCCCGACAACGACGACATCAGCAGAATCGAACTCTCCTTAGCCCATCCCACCACTTGTTCCGACAACACTTCCCCAAGAAACTCCAGATTCTTCCATGGCGGTCTTGACACTGACCACTCGGCCACTTCACATCATCATCAGCAGCAGCTTCATTATCCCATCAATGGCGGTCTTCACGGCTTGAGTCACCTGATTAACCAGAGGGTTTCTTCCTCACCTGAAAACCTCCACCGTCCGATCAGGGGTATCCCGGTGTATCACAACCGTTCGTTCCCCTTCTACCACCCAATGCCTTCTTCTTCTTCATCATCTCCTTCTTCTTCTTTGCCTTGTTTCGGGGGAGAGTTCGATCAAGTTTCGATCTTGAGCTCATCCGCCGCCAATAATCAATCTTTTCCGGGTTATAACTCGTATCGGGTACAAGCCGGTTCGAGGCTTAAAGGGGTTGCTTCTTCGATCGAGGCCTTGAGATCACACCATTTGCATCATCATCATTATGGGGTTGGATCCTCGGATTCTTCGTCTCACGGAATGATTAGATCGAGATTCTTGCCGAAGCTGCCTACCAAGAGAAGCATGCGAGCCCCGAGGATGCGTTGGACGAGTAGTCTCCATGCCCGTTTCGTTCATGCCGTGGAGCTCCTCGGCGGCCATGAAAGTATACATACATATATATATATATATATATTACTGTCCTCTTATGATACCAAGATCTCTTCCTTTTTCTCATTTTTATTTGTGACCTATTTTGGTGAAGGAGCAACTCCGAAGTCGGTTCTGGAGCTCATGGATGTCAAGGACTTGACCTTAGCTCACGTGAAGAGCCATTTGCAGGTAAAAATTCCACTTATCCAAAACCTAAATTAATACACTGAACCAAAAATCAGCATAAACACTTCTAACAAACCAGGTTTCTTCTTATGCAACACATTCCTCTCTTGTCTCTTCTTCTGTTTTCTTTCCCTTATTTCGAGATTCTAACTTAAAATTAGTAGTTTAATCTCCATTTCAAGCGATAGTATCCAAACCCAGATTCGAAAAAAGTGTTTTCAAACCTATATATATATATATATATGTATGTATGTATATTAACACTTTCTGGAACAGGATCCACTTAAGCAATGCCCACCGACATGCAGTTCATCTTCTTTTATTTCTGCTTCTTCTCCATCTTCCACAGATCATTTGAACAAAGAACTCATTTTTTTTTTGTTTTTTGGGGGTTTCATGTTGGGTCTGATCTCGACGAAGAAGAAAGGGCACAGTTGTCGAGAAACTTCAGCAGTTGAATGAATGAATTTAAAGAGAGGGAGGGAGAGAGCAGTTAGCTTTAAGAGACTGAAACCTTTCAGAGAAAGGGTTGAGAAAGAAGGGAGAGAGATATTATTATAAAAAAAAAAATGTAATTTAATTTTTATAAAAAATCAAACGCAAATCAAGGGTGGGGGGGACAAAAGTAGTCCATCATTACTCAATGATAATGGGGATTATATATATAGAGCCTCGTTACAAAATCCCTCGTGGCCTCTACATTATAAAATTCGACACACCAATTCCAAGACCAGACCCAGAAAACCACACACACACACACATATATATAAAAGGAGGCATATGTATGTGTCTGCATATATATATATATATATATGTGTGTGTGTTTGTTTACATGTACTATTATTGCAACAAAAAAAAGCAGAAAAAGTCCTTTAATTACACTCTATAACCAAAATAATTTCATCACCTGGTTCTGGTTTTATCAACAACATTAACAATGTGTTGGTTTTGTAATTCTTATGCGTTTTTTCCCGATAACTTTGCAGATGTATCGGACTATTAAGAGCACTAACAAGCCTGCAGCTTCCTCAGGTACATATATATACACATATATACATATACACGTATGTATATGCATGTATATGCTGGTCTGCACGTATTCACATTACTTTAATTTCACATAGCTTTTCTCAGCTTTTCTTTTTCTCTTATGGGGAAACAAAGTAAGAGTAACGGCTGTGCAATGATTTCATCCTATAATAGAAAATATTAGTTTAATTAGAGATACCCATAAAATTCATATTAATTTCATACGAACTATAGTCTTAAAAATTAATCCGAATCTTAGTGATATATATATATATATTTAGGTTGGGATATTTTTCCAAAGTTTCATGCAAGTTCAGATTTTTGTTGTTGGTAAAACTAGATTTAATAATGTTGTGGTCAGGTGAAAGCTCTATCAAAAACATTTAAGGCAAGAGTTCCTTATAGTATGTGTCTTTACCAGAAACTTAGAAGTGGTCTTTGGTTAGGACAAGAACCCTAAAATGGTAATGAAAATTGAGATGTAACATTGGATTTGGAAATTCTTGGAGGGGCAAATCAGATGGGTCTGGGGACGAAGATACTCCCGCTTCTGGAAACGGGACAGATCAAAGAGCACAATCTGATCATCAAGAAATTGACTTCCCTTCCGCCATCTCCACGCCTCTCTGGTGTAATTCTTCAAGGTATTTACGTATACGTGTGTGTGTATGTATATACACACACAAACATTTACGTATACGTATCTGAACATGTTCCTGTAACTACTACTTGTCCATATACACGTTCCTATACGGATACATACGCATAATATACACATATTTGCATGAACAGTTTGTCAATAGATTCAATACCCTTTTGTTTGCATTGCAAGTTGTAACAAAGACATGAACTCTAACTAGTGTCTTTGTGTATATATGTTATATATGAACATGAAATTATTATAGCGGAGAGGCATGGCCGCAGAGTAATGTTGAAACAACGAGAGGAGGTACATCAGCATCATTCAGTCACCATCAAATTACATCAACTCTCCAAACTGAGGTAATTAAAGTTTTAGCCTCTCACCGTTGTATGATTCACATATATATATATATATAAAATTCATATATATATAACTTTTATATATATAGGAGGATCATAGCTCGAGAGATGGAGAAAAGAGGTGTGGAGGTCTTAGTGGCAAGAATCCGAGCTTGGAGTTCACATTAGGCAGACCAGATTGGCACGAAGAATGACTTTCTCGATCGACCGGTTTATATACTCATCAAAACACGTCCTTAGTGTATCCGCAGTCAACATATATATATATATATCGACGGATGTATGATTTTTGTTTTCTTTCTTGAGTTGTTTCGTGTGATCATTGATAAAAGCTGATCCGTATTTGAAGCGTAGGTATTTGTCTCGTTCATGTTGCGCAAAGAGTGGGGAAGAAAAGGAAGGAAAACAATAATGTGGATTGGAAAATCACCAAAATTAGTGAAATTTGTTTTGTTTTTAATTTTATTTTTCTCCCATGTTTTTGTATGGGGTTTATCACTAATTTTTTTTTTTTGTTAAAGTGAGTTTATCACTAATGTTCCATGTATAAAAGATGTGATTTTCACATATTTATGTTTCATATTATACTTTATATATATATATATATATATATGCATGTATGAGGATTTGGAGATTATATATATATAAAGATGTGATTTTCACATATTTATGTTTCATATTATACTTATTTATATATATATATATGCATGTATTAGAATTTGGAGTTTATATATATATTCTCATTCACAAATGCAAACACGTGTGAAAATATGTACAGTACAGAAGCCGAGCTTAATAGAATATTTTATATTTCCTTTTTTTTTTGGGCAAACGAGAATATTTTATATTTTCACCAAAATATCTTAACAAAATATGATTTAAATCTGTAAAAGTCGTAAAATCATTCAATTAAGATTATCTAAATAAAATAAAAAAACAGGTGATTACTAAAATTCAATATTCTACAAGACCATCAAGGTGTAGGAAATAGGACAGCAGTGCAATACACATGAAACAGTGTTTTTTTAAACAAAAAAAAAACATGTGTTTTTTGGCCTTATTTTCCAAGTCTCGTTTGAGGATTTGTTCTTCCCCTTCAGATTTTATGGCTTTGTTTTTTTTTTTTGCTGATACGCCAAAAGAATATCACAACAAAGGACGATCAAGCTGTGTCTGTCACCTCTATACATGTTCTTTAGATTACATATATATATATATAATAAAAATGAAAATTGACTTTACAGATTCTTCCTCTCCAAATTAAATCATCCTCTTTCTGAAACAGCTGAAGAGAAGACAAGAAGTTCACTGTTCTTTTTTTTTTTTTTATTGCTCTGTATCAATGGCAATGGTGTCTTTACCAGATGGAGCTTGTCTTGTTTCAGACACTGAGAGCCTTCTGGGTTTAGCGGCTGATGTCTCCACAAGCTCCTCAGACGACAAACTTATTGATGCGGCTCCTCCTGATGACGACGAACCCAGCAGATGCCTAAACGGGGTTTCTTGATTCATCGATGATGAGGCGTTGTTAATGTTGTTGTAGGTGAACACCCTCATTGGATGATCAAACTTACAGCTCGGTCCGAACTTGCAGATTCCGTAACGAGAATAGAATACGCACAAAGGCTCTCCCTGAAATGAATAACCCGAGAAAAACGCAAAATCCAGACATGTCAAGTTCCAAGCAGAAAGAACATTTCAGATTCATTCGTTACTATGTGACCATAGACAGCATCTGAGAAAGAAAGAACGAGACAACCCATATCAGATTCTTTCTCTAAGCAATGCTTTTGCAGGGGCTTAGATTGTTGATAGTTGTGGTTTAAACAAGAAAGAAGCTGAAAATCTGCTAAGTACTTACCGGTCGTAATGGCAATCCTATGGGACTCAGCACACAGTCTGGAGGAGGGATCTGTCTGTCTCTAGGATGATGAAATTTGCAAACCGCTCCGAATTTGCAATCTCCAGTCTTCATGTAAAATTGGCACTCTGGTTGTCCAGGCCTTTCTGGGAATACATTCTCCCTTGGCAGTGCATAAATCCCTAGCTGGGCGGAGCCTGAATGGAAACCCGAGAATGACCCGGGAGACCCCGTATCTTTTGCCTCGTTCTGCATTAGATTTCCGTAGTTGTGATCATTTCCTGTTACCTGTTGTGGGCTTCCAGAGGAAGAAACTGAACCGAGCTGACCCTGGAAAAAGAAAACACCCGGAAAGATTCAGCAGAAATTACGAGCAGGTTGTAGAAATCTAGTATCTTCGTGCATGAGAATTACCTACACTGTTACATGATTCAATGCCAAAATATCACACAAGAATTTGATGGTTGTGCAAGTTATTTTAAGGATATAGCAAAACTTACACTGTAAGTGTTCCATCCTTGCACCGACACCATGCCCTGAGGCAAAATTAACGAGGCAAAGCTAGAAGGGTCTTGCCATCGCGGGTTGGCAATAAAAGATGCTCTAGACCAAGAATATGACTGCTGACCGGCAGTAGGAGATTGGACAGCCGGGTAAACTGGGGAACCACGAAGGGGAACCATCAAGTTTGTTGGCGGAGGGTGGTTGAACTTACAAGTGCTCCCAAATTTACAGTGACCTGTTCTTAGATAATATGAACATTCAACCTCATTCTGCACATGGGAAAAAAAAGTGATCATAGACACAAGAAATTACCAAGATCTAATGGCAGTTTAACTCACAAGAAAAAGAAACCACCTGTCATCTCTAATTTCTAAAGCAAAGATGGACTGACTCCTTTCAATTTTATCCTTCTATCCAAATGTTCATATTTTTGTTTCTAAAGAAATCTCAACCAGAAGAAAGTGAGCCCTTATGCATGGAATATCCTATTATCATCCTCCTGTTATGGGGAAACCTAAGAGAACTCGGTCAAAGTAAAAAAAATTGACCAAAGGAATGAGCTCACAGATAGAGACCATAAAGATCAACACATAAACGGGACATTCAAATAAATAATAAAATCGGAAAGTCGATTTACATACAGGGCGTATGGGATAGCCTAACACGTTTAGTGATACCCTCCCGGCAATACCAGCTTTGTTCCTAGGATGATGAAACTTGCATGTCACTCCAAACTTGCAGGTTCCTGTCTTAAGATAGTACTGCAATACAAACATCAGAGAGAAAAATTAAACCAGCATCGTAAAAGATGACAAAAATACCAAAGCTTCAGAAAATCCCCATAAACCTACAAAGTCCTTGCAAACTGGAAGAGTTATTTAATTCAGATATCCAGACTGCTGTCTCCATTGATTATCTCAAAGATGTTTCAAAGGAAACTATCCACAACAGAGCAGAGCACGTGAATCAAACTCAGTATAACAGGTATTGTCTGTAATTTTCATGAAGTTTCAGAGCTGGAGAAATATCTGTGGATCTTGATGAGATTAACAGAAATATCTCCCTCAATCAGAGACAAGATTTAGTGCTTACACCGGGGGACCGGGACAAACAAGGTAAAAACTAAGAGAACAGGCAGTGAAACTGTCTACACTGCAGAAAGTAAATGATTTGACTCAACATAGTATAGGTGAAAATTTGAGATTTTGATAAAATTTGAACGATCATCATGAAGAACCTCTGGACAAAGATGCTACATATGGCAAGAGGTTATATATTGTTTCCCATTTTACAGCAGGAGCAACTAGCCTTCCCTATGCGTGAAGGATAACAAAACCATTGGAAAAGAAACTCATTCCTGCAGTTTCTGAGATAAAATAACAACACATTACAGGAAACTATCATGGAAAATACTGTTCGAGAAGGAGAAGCATATCCTTCTTTGATTCCGACATTCATCTAAATCTAGTCAAAGTTCATCTAAGTCTAACTCACCTGGCATTCAGGCTGACCGATCCTCTCAGGGTATTCTCCTTTCATCCTCGCCGCGGCTATAGCCTAGAATCAGACATGACCGCATTCAGCAATATAATATGACTAAAAAGACTGCGATATCAGATGCCACACCCAAAATCCATGAATAAGCAACGCGAAAGATGGAGACTTTTAAGAGCCATTGTCCAATTCCGCCAGGATAATATGGAACGAGAAAGAGATTTCAACGGCGAATCCGAAGTGGAGGTCATCGAATTTCAAACATCATCGTTATCATGAAATAACAAACCGTCCTCGTACCAGGTTCCGATCACGAGGATGATTAAATCGGCATGTCGAACCAAACCTACAGAGACCAGTCCTAATGTAATAAGAACAATCCGGCTCCCCGGGCCGCTCCGGATACGTCCCGCCTTCCATTGTTTCAACTGAACTCAAATTCATCGGCCACATTGCATCTGATCACACCCAAAAAAAAAATCATGAATACTCGATCACTCCCGCCGCCCAAAACCCCCACCAACCAACACAAATTCGAAGAAAACAGGAACTTGGGCATTGATCAAAACACGGAAAAGTGACATCGGGACAGAAAATAGGAAACCTTGGTTTAGCAACGGTGATAGGGAGGAGGTACCAGATTCGCGGGACATGGGAACTCCGGCATTGAAATCCATGGGCGTGAAAATGATGAGTAACAAAGTCCACCATTTCCGTCACTCTAGAGATCCGCCGACGAGAACCCACATCGTTGACGGAATCTTCTTCCTCCGATGGTGGAGAGAGTAAAAATGGCAACAATGGAGGAAGACAGAGAAATTGTAAGAGAGAGAAGGGGAAGGAGAACGTGTAGAGAGAGAGGGAGAATGGGGAGTAAAGCGTCCTCGTCTCCCTTCCACACAAAAAAAAACGAATATAAGGAACGGATTAAAATTAAGTCATGTAAAATGACAAAAATACCGCTGACCAAAAGATACAAAGACAGAATTACCCCTCCTATCTACCCACTCAAAACGGACGGCAGAGAATGCACGTGAATTTCTTATTATTTTATTATTAAAAAACATTATTTTAATAGCACTTATTTATGTGATATGCCATGGACCCTTTTTAGTTTGCATATTACTGCTAAGAACATTTATGATTAACCTCTTATATGACTGTTCCAAGAAGAGATTATTCCAAATGAAACATGTTTAATTATAGTTTTTTGTTAAGGAGAATACTAAAAAAACTCTTAAAATTTTAAAAATATCAAAATTCTAACAAAAAAATTTAATAATATCTAAACTAATAAAACGTCCCACAAAAACCATAAAATCAATCATTTTTTATAAAAAAAAAATATTAATTGAAATTTAATTTTTCTTAGAAATATTTTGACTTAATTATATATATATATATGGAAAAGGACCATGAAACCACAACCATGTAGAAGTAGAACCATTCTCTTGGCCATTACAAGAGCTCAGGAGATGTTCCTCCTAAAACCCTAAAAACTTGGCCAGATGTTCTGTCTTACAACATTTGGTATTTTTACCAATTGGAAACAAAACTGCTGGGGATCAAACCTTTGTATTGTATCATCATCAGAGATATTGCCTCAGGCATTCTCCGCTCATTTCTTCCATCTGCTTTAGAATGTCCTGTGCCAGAGATTTAACCGACGGTTCAACGTCCTCCAGCAGTTCCCCGAGGAACGATATAGTCTCCACGAAGAACACCCTATACTCTTCTTTCAGATTGTCTAACAACTGTTTGACACTTCTCAGTCCCAATATCCGAGCTCGTAGCTTCTCGCTCCGGGTTTGCATCAACACCTGACAAGAATTTCAGACATCAAAAGGAGTTTCGAAAGATGGGCGATGCAGTTACAAAACAGTTCTTCGGGGAAGGAAAATTCTTTCGTCTGTTGAACAGCTATTGTGTATTGATGACATAGCACCCAAATGATCAGTGCATGCACAGATCAAGAATGAGTTGATCCCATGAGAAATAATTGTGACCAAATGCAATAACCTATGTCATAACATTGATAATCCAAAGCTAATATGTTCTTTGCCATTGCTATGTAAATTTTAATGCTCAAGTCGAAAGTAAAATCAGGGCCCTAATATGCACCTCGTGGTTCAGCGGCTTCCAGAGAAGGTCAGACCCAACGGCTACGGCCATTTGACCAATGCAAGAAACCACTAGCTCATCAACCTCCAGTACTGATGGTACATATGCATAGTTGTCCAGAGAAGCCGGCGGCTCTACAACAATTTGTGATGCAATAGGTTTTAGTAGCACCTGCAAAAAGTAGAACACAACACTTATGAAATCTTTGGCCATTATTATACTTGCTTGGCTATGGTTTTCCATCATTTTTTTGTTGTTGTCAATTGTATGACAAACACGTAAATAAATAAGAAGCTCAAACAATTTGAAGATGAATGCTTGGCCCATGAAAAGATGATTTAGATCAATGACCTGAAAGTTATTGGAGTCTAGAAACTTCACACTTCCTGTGTGATACAGAAAGCAGTTCTTCAAGGAAGACAACACTAATGCCCTGAGATGCCAGCTTTTAGGTGGTATATTATCACCCGCTTCCTGAATCTTGACCTTCTTCTTCTTCCTAGATGAAACTGAAGCTTCGATGCTGGTGAGATGTGATACAATACCATCGAGCAAGTATTTGAAGTATTGGACAAAGAGGGACCTGCATTTCCTAGTAACAGGTTGATGTTATTTCTCACCCATACAGCCTCTTCAAGAAAGAAAATCTTATACAAGGAAATCCGTTTATTCATTAAATGAACAGAAACCCATAACTTATCGATTCCCACAAACCAGATCACCATAGACAAGTTATCAACCAAAAGCTATAGAATATCAAAATCGACGGTTGCACAAGTGATGAGCATCAGAAACTACTAGTACTATTTGAAAACATTCATTCACTCACCGGTGGCTCTCAGAAAGTTGATTAACAAAGCCATAGAAAGATATAGCTCTGTCTATGCTCTTGCTTTCACCGCCGGACATGTCTTCAACATCTGAATCTGCCCATTCTATACTCCTGATGAAGAGGGGTTTGAACATGGATTCAGTCAGCTTCTTCGTGAGAGCAATGATTGCATTGATTATGCTTCTCTCAACAACATCAATGTTTTGAACTGATGCTGGATTTTGACGCCAGATATCAAGGGCGAGCAAGCATTGGTCGAAAATCCATTTTTACAACCAGATTTGCCAGTATTTCAAAAGCAATCACCAAGCTTGGATCCCCAGAATTAACGGCCTCACCATATATCCTCAGAAGTGGTTGTAGAGTGAGGCGAACCTGTGAAGCAAAAGAAAATTCAAGGTCACGTCTTTAGATAATGACATACATTATTAATAGAAAACAAGGTTCACAAATGCATTTTAAGAGCTCACCGATATTTTTTCAGTTAAGAGCTCACGGATGGCAACGACTTTGATCTTAAACTTCTGGTTAAGTTCAGAAACAAATTCAGGAAGCAACGCCACAAGTTGAACTATATCTCCAAGATAAGGATTGCGGAAACCTCCAAGTTTATCAACCACTGCTTCCAGAGTGACTAGAATAGACAGCATAAGAGACTCGTCTTCAATTGTTGTGCTACCATTATTCCCAGACACCGAAGACACTTCACGCAATCTTTTTATCAAATTCTTCATTATGGGCGGAAGTTCAAGCAGTGCCTTTGGTCCAAGAACATTGACCAATGCAGCAGTTGTACGAAGGCAGCTTGAGGACACTCCCAAATTCTTTGAACTAATGCCTTCTGCAACAGATCTAAGCCATTTGCTGAAGATTGGATGAACAGACGGAAACCTGCTAGCCAAAACTTCCAGGGTAGAAACAGCAGTTTGTTTAGCTGGAGCACCTGACACATTATCAGTATGATCGATTATATGAACAATTTCCTCGCACATCTTTCCAAAAGATTCAGTAGCAACCTCATCCAGATTCAACCAGGGGTTTCTTCTCCTTGGATTGACGACTCGTCTCATATTGTGCTTCAACTTAGATGAATTGGTGTCCTTAGCAGTCTCCCTTAGAAGGCCAAGTACCTGAATACATGTGTAGAAGCAAGTTTCAAACACCAACTTTTGCAGAGGTAGTCATTGGGCTATATAAACCGTAATCAGATAGAATACAAAAAATCTGCAACAAAAGAGTACTCCATTTGCCAGAGCAAGTTCAGTCAGTTATGACCAATATTGTTATGTTATCGCAAGAAGGATGTAGTAAACTAGGTGATAATATTTCCACCTTAACAAGTTACTGTCTGACTGCAGAAGCAAGCTAGCAATTCCTTTGAAATATACAGAAGGATCCGTGGCTGCTTTGGTAGTCACCAAGACCGCATGTGCACGAATCCTGAGATCTTTCCTAACTCCAGGAGATACATCCATTTCCTTTGGTACGGCATCAATGGCTTGCAAGAGATACCAACAAATTGAAGCCAAATACAATGAACAAGGAAACTCTAAAAGAAAAAATAATGTATTTTCAATACCAGAAACAAAGATAACATGTATCATATAATCTTTTCAATTGAGAGAAAGGACGAAAAGATTGAAATCAAGGAAAAGGGCTAAAAAGCGATAGCAAATCAACAAACCTTCAGGTGCAAAATAGCGTTTTTAACTGCATTTTGTATATTGCCATTTGCACACCGAAACAAGGGCACCATCTTACGGAAGAAACGATCCTGACCCAGAAACCAAAATCAGAAAATTGTACAAAAAATAAATGGTCAGGGAGATCATCTTTTGGTTTGTGTATTATACTAGATCGAGATATACTATGCAGAAAGCCTGCAGGATAAGGATATTTATACTCAATTATCAGGTTAAGACTGACCTGGAGCTTAGTCTTCAGTTCAACATAAAATTGACTGCTTAGTTTATTCAAAACAGTAAGACAAGGAGACATGACAGCAGGATCTTCTGGTGTCTTGTAATCAATCTGCAAAATAAATATCTTAAACTGAAGCCGGAAAAGCCGTCAGTAAGCAAACAAAGAAACACATACGAAACTATTCTTACTTGCAAAGCATTCAATATATGATCAACAAGAGAATGGCCTTCAGAGGCTGGTGAACGCATGATGCAGCACTAAGGGAAGCAGAAGATTGAAGTTACAAACCAGTACAAGGCGACACATAAAATTTTCACTGAGAAAAGAAAGGAAAAATACATTTACCTCCAGAAGAAGGCCCAAACTCACACCTCACTCAGTTCAAGATACTGTGTCGGGCCATAAAAAAGCCCTCGGGAATGACGATGGAAGATATGATGATAGAGGCATTCTCGTTCTCTTTGATGGACAAGACGAGAGATTGGCTATATACTTTGGAGTCGAATTGCATCTCTACCTAGAATGAGATGGAAGAAAAATTTATGATGAAGTACTACTCGCCGATGAATACTCAGTTGGCTCTTAGCAAGATCAACACTTTTGCCCAAGAGGGTGATGAGAGTCTCTATGATGCTTGGTAGAGGTTCAAAGAGTATCAGAGGATGTGCCCACATCACGGCATGGATAGTAAGTACTTACTCTCCACCTTCATACATGGACTCCGAGATGATACAAGAGGTTGGGTAGATGCAGTTTGTGGAGACAGCGTCTATGATTTATCTTTCGAGGCTCTTGAGATTCAGATAGCCAAGATGGCTAAAGGCAGAAACATATCCGGGGAGATTAACAGATTAGCACTGCCAAAAGGAGATGTCAAGGGAGACATCAGTGAGACTTCGGCCTTAAAAGCCGTACTTTCTGAGCTTTCCGCCATCAAGTTGCAACTTGCAAAGATCGGCGCATCGAAGCCACTGAAGAAGTGGATTATGTGGGCAGAAATCAGTACAACAACCAGTCCAACTTCTACAATCCAAGGAACCGAAATCACCTTGTCTTCTCCTATGGCAATCCGCAGGGAGCGTCGAATCCCCAGCATCAGAGCGGACCGAAACCTCAGGGAACTCCGGGATTCCAGCCTAGATACCAAAGCCAGGGATATCAGAGCCAGAACCAAGGATATCAGAATCAAGGGTATAGAGCTCCATCTCCCCAGGCTAAGGAAGATGAGTCGGACTTAAAGTCAATGCTCGCTCAGTTGATGCATGATCAGAAGAGCTCATTTTCCGACTTGAGAGGTGAGATGCAGGGGTTGAAAGGAAAGAAAGAGGGCTTTGAGCGGATATTAGATGGGATGGACGTACATCTCAAGATGGTAGACAACCAAATTGCCCAGCTTGCCTCTCAGTCTTTGCGGCCCCAGGGACAATTTGCAGGTAAGACTGATCCTAACCCGAGGGAGCACATCAATGCCATAGGCCTGAGAAGCGGAAGACAGCTTCCAGAGAACTCCCCATTTGTCACAGAAGAGGGAGAAGGTTCACATGAACCTCAGAGGGCCGCCTTAGATAAAGGCAAAGGCCATGTTGTAGAGGGGGAAGAGGCGAGGTATAT